AAAACCAAGTGTTGGAAACTCTTATATAATGTATTTTAGGTAGAAACCAAGTATAAAAACGTAAAAACCACTTCATTAAGGTAAAAACCACGGCTAGCCAAGTTTATGCCGTTTCACATGGTTTTCACCAAAAGACCAAAAACGAAAGGTGGTTTTTGACATGTTTTTGTTGGAGAACCATTTGGATATGTCTAGAAGTAAAAATCAATCATAAAATCTTAAAAACCACTTGATTGATTTGGGCACCAAAAACCAACACCGATAACCGGCGCCGAATGCCGATAACCAACGCCGAAAAACAAAGGTTATGGTTTTTGAAAACTAATCATTTGGAAAACCTTTAAATGTGTCCAGAAGCATAAACCAAAGATAAAAACCCAAAAACCATTTGGTTAAAATCAATGCAAATAACCAATGCCGAAAACCGAACGCCATAGCCGAACGCCGATAACCGATGGTTATGGTTTTTGTTAAGCAAGAACCATGGGTTTTAGAAACTTAAAAACCATTTATGAAAACACTAATTTGATGCATGAAAAAACATGTTTTGTTTTGAGCCATGATGTAGAGAAATTGAATGAGCTTGTTACAATAAAACCTAAGTCTTTAGAATACGTCTTCAAAGCGCCAATGTCGACATCTTTAGCAACGTCAATGCCTTTCTTGTGCTTTTTGTTTCTTCAAAAAACTTTTTCTATCTCTTTGAATCTTTTGATTTTGTTCCATGTTCCCAATGGTTTGTCAATATCAAAACCTAAACGGAAACAAACATTGTCATTAGCAAAATGTCAAAGTGAAAATGTTTTCCAACATCTGATACCAAATTGTAACACCCACCTTCCGTGGACCCGGTTCACCCGCGACCCAACGGACCGGTAGGGTTACATGGGCGGTCTGAGAACCGTCCGTAACGTAAAAACATTAATGACTATTTATTGTGAAAACGGTTGTGTTTAATTAGTGGAATAAATGCTAGGGAAGTAAACGGAGTTATTCCCAAAACGTATATGGTATAAATGCAGAGTAAAAGCGGAAGTAAATAAATAAGTCCAAAATAGGTAAAACGACATATGATGGGTTCATGCCCAAATGATTAATTAATTCCAATGATTATAATTATTAAACTCGTCTGTGCGCCGCCCATCTTCCCATCATCACTGTCCTCCAGGGTTGGCACCTGTACCGTCAGGTCTACCTGCGTGTATCAAAAACAACTACACGCTCAGCAAAAGCTGAGGAGTGAATCTAACAAAAGAACATGAAGTGATAACCCATATGATTATACACATATTAATACCTGTAGTTTAACGTACGGAAAACCACATGTTTACTAACTGATTAACTTGCACTTGATGGGATATTTTTACACATAACAAAATGAATAACAACCACATTGAATGTCGACATGACATGGAACACACATGATGACGATATGACTTGATGCATGACTTAAACTATCAGGGACACCCCTGGCTTAGTCTCACTTGACAGGATCACCCCTGTACTCCGGTAAAGAGCCGGGCTCGACGTAAATGTCGCAAGTGAACTAGCAAAACTGGGTGGTAGCCGTAGCCTGACTACCATGTACGTACACAAAGCCCACCTGATGAAAACCCGTTGGATCCCGAAGGTTCCTGGACGGGCCCACTGTAGTAGGCACACGAAAGCCTGACCTCCCTACAGTGGTATGCACATGATGATAAACCTAGGACATGCATCTAGAATGAACATGATGAATGCTTGATATATTTACCTTTGGTCAACGCCAGGAATATATCAATAAATAACATAATAATGAAGATTAACATTTCATACAAACATACAATCAGATTCTGAGTCAATATGGTCAACGGGGCTCGTTCTACAAATTATCCAAAAAACTGCCCGGGAAACGGTCGACCGTACCCCACCGGCGGTCGACCGTGAGCTAGGTTATGGAGTTCTGGAATGCCGACGGTCCACCCCGGTCTTCCGTCGCGGCCAGCGGTCGAGCGTTACGATGGTGGCCGACAGACGGTCAAGGGAAACGGTCCACCGTCCTTAGCGGCGGTCGACCGTCCCGTAGACAGTCCACTGACTCTGGCTTCGTTTTGATCCGTTTTGTGAACTTAACGCCTTGATTCTTTTTAGAACAATAATGTAAACATTTATGAAAATATTCCTAGTGATTCCTATGCCAATATATACGA